GTAGGGAGTGTGAGGAAGAAGAGGGACACGGGGACTGCTGGCCTTTCATTCATGCATTCCTTCCCCCTTAGCTCTTGAGCACTTTCTGAGATGTGTGCTTCACGTCACGACCACTAATCAGAGGCAGAGTTAGGAAGGGGATTCAGCCCGGGAGCCCAGCAGGCCTGTGTGAAGTCCAGGTTCTGCGCCGCTCCAGTGGACAGGGCTGAGCAGGACAGCTCTGGAACTGAGCATTGTCGTCTCACCATAAACAGAGACAATAAATACATGCGTTGCACGGGGTGGGTGGGGGACCCAGGACGGCCAAGGGGCATGGAAAGCACCGGATAGGTGCCCAGCACTCAGCAGACAAAAGCTGTTTTATTGAAATTGACCTAGTTTATAATTTTACGTATAAAAGCAATACTATTTCAGAGTCAGCGGCAAAGGGAAACCATGTCGTGTCCCTCTCACCGTAGATAGTTGGGTGCCACGAGACGCAGGTAATCATTTTCTCTGTTTGGCTGTGCAGGTCGGTAAAGGACTGGTACTCTTTCAGGTGGGTATTGGTTTTGTCCCCGAAGGTGCCTTCTTCTTCAGCCAAGGACTTCCAGTCATCAATAAAGAGGTTCATAATTTCATTCTGTTGCAGGGCTATTTCAACACTATTTGATTTTTTAGAAAAAGCAATTAAGATGTTGGAATTTAGTATTTAATGATATGACATTTTTAAGCAGTGCTTCATGTATATTGAACAAAAATAATACTTCTCAGTTATATAATGACCAACTTCATATGAATAAATGACCGTGGAGGAAAAAAATCTCATGTCGGGCCGCCACTCAGAATCTCAAGATCTGGCTGTTCACTTGCCAGAAGTGTGCTAAATGTTGGCTTCTGGTGCCCCCTGGTCTGCCTCGGTTTCCCAGAAGCTCTCGTGGCCCAGTCTTGCTCTGCCTCTTCTAGTTTTCATGTACCCCTTAGGAAATCTCTACTGCTTGGCTGGTCCCCAAACAGACACAAAAGGCAACTTTCTAAGGCATTTTCAGTGCAAAACGATCACTTATATACAATGAGGAGAGCTCAGTTATATAGTGAGTATGTACACACACGTACACAAACACACTCAACAACAAATAAGAACTTAACAAGGGGAAAGTGTGCACACGTGCGAGCACACGCTCCGGGTGCTTTAGGTTATCACAACGCCACAGCACTTGGAAGCAGCCACTCTATTTAATTCCATCAACTTACTGCAGTGTATGAGGCAGTCCCTAAAACACAGAATTATAGCACTAAAAGTGCTAATGCTAAGGAATGGTGTGAAAGCTTGAGTCATCTCTTGGTAACCTAGGGACCCTGGCTTGACAGGCTCATTGATTTTATTTTATTATTTTATTTTTTTATTGCAAACTAATCCTGTATTACAGAAATATACAAAACAAGTGCAACAGCAAATGTTTGCAAGCAAACTACACATTCTGACTGGTATCAGTTCAGATTTGAGGGAACAGCGTCTGTATAAAACGACTTTTGGCTATTTCACGGTGTGCAACTGAAATAGATGCACTTGTTTTTGCTAAGAATATAGAAACCTTTGCTGTTGTATCTCTTCCATAATCT